ATAATTTTGACAAATTAATAAGAAATTGGTTTGGATTTGGATATTTTCGGCCGATTTCACATGTTCGATGCACCAAACACGGTATGTACCTCCAATTTCAATGAAATATGAAAGGAGTGGCGGAATTTGTTGTAAAAGTAAATTTTGTCAAGTTATATTGAAATCGGTTCAGATTGGGATATGATTTTATTATGAATCATTGACCCACAACGCCTCTGCAATGGTATTAGGCTAACAGTAAAAAACTACACAACAATTAATTGAGGATACGATTATTACGGGGAACTATGTTGCTACCTCGAATAATTTTATTGCAACAGAAATGCCAGTCACCTTCAAAAGATTGCAGTTTCCTGCACGCTTGGCATTTGCTATGAAATTAATAAATCCGAAGGACAAACCCTTCGTGTATGCCGACTTAATTTGGCATGTTCCTACTTTTCTCATGGTCAGCTGTTTCAAGTATGTTCACGCGTTGGAAGACCGATCTATTTGTTTGTTTACGCATTAACGTATTACAATTATTACGTTTTTTTAAATTTTTGAATTTGTCTTTATTTATTTTACCGTTTCCACATTTAATAGGAACTCATTCTATACATGACTTTGTGATGAAAAAAGTGTGCTCTCCAAATAAAAACTGAATGGTCTTTGAGTTAAATTAGTTTTAGCAAAATTACCAAAAAATAACTATTAGCCTTTAATTTTTACTTGTTTAAGTTAGTAATAATGTTAGAACTAAAGCCTCATTTCCCAATTGATATTTTTTGTTTTTATTTTCGAAATATTCGTTGTTTTTTTAGATTAGAAAAAAGGAATTGTTAGAGATACCGTGTATATATTTTAACCCTAGTCACGGGACATTTATGTATTTATTAGGTCTACTTCAAAAAGGCATAACTTGTTTAAAATCAATTGAAATTGGATTTCCTCATTCACTTTGCACGATTGTCTGCATTTATTGGCCATACGAATTTGACTGGTCTAGAAACAATGAATTTCTTTACAATCCATTGTTGTGTTGATCGCTGCTGATCATATGATTTCCACTTGACGATCGGTCTATTTTTATAAGCATATCTACCGCAGATACGCCATTTGTTGTTAGTCCACATTGACCACGCACACACGTTGTATTTTTCCACACAATAAGGTGATTCCAGCATTTAAATTTGGCAAAAATTGTCATTTTGCCAAAAACACACCACGCGTTGTTTATAAACCAACGTCCACTGTGTCACATGAAAAAATGACAATCATGACACACACTCCCACTAGTTGGGTCCGACAATCACCTAGAACTCACTTAGTTATAATCGACTTCGGTGGTGTGTCAGGGTAATTCTCAAAAGCTGTTCTACATTCCAAATATTATTTTCAGGCTACATGGAAATTTTGTTGCCGAATTTGTTGACTTCAAAATATCTAAACTTAACGTTACGTTGGCGACGTGCCCGAAAATACAAAACATCGCCCCATTCAGATATCGTATAACGTAAGACATCAGATATTCAAAAATCAGGACTTGAATTAAGAATTTCTTGTTGGCATGTCTTCTACTTTTTATGCCCTATGAATAGAGGTTGTATTAGGTTTATCATTACGTTTGTATATATCCTTCATCAGTGTAAAATTCTAAGTATATTTAACCATGTCCGCCAGTCCCTCTGACCGTCCCTTTGTTGTAATCACGCAAGAGTCCAAACTATTGGACAAATACGGTATAGAACATTTTCGACATAGGTCCACGTTTTTTCTATAGCCCCCTTATAATGCTACCGTTTAGCGTTTCAAAATTTTTCTATAGGCCCCATGCAACGGTACCTCAGGATATTCGGTATTTTGATGTTTTTAGCCAAAATTTTCACAGGAATTGTTATAAATAAAATAAATAACAACTTTAATAGTCATCTTAGTTTCACGTTTTGGTATTGAAATATGCTTGCATGATTCCTGTGTAACTCCTGCAAATTTCATCAATAGACATGTATGCGGTTCGAATGATTTTTAGTTTCTATCAATTTGGTTTCCTACCAGAGATTGTCTTTCGACCTTCAACTTCAGATGGATGTTGATGGTTGTTTGGACGACCTATACTGTCAGTCCTCAATAAATACAAGCATTTTGATAAGAATACAATTCAATATTTCATTGAGATAAGAAGAATAAATTTGAGGGACGATGTAAATATAAAATCATTGTTGTGGTGCAAAGATGGCAAACAGCAATGTCCTACGAAATATGACAGAAAATATTTATATTTGTAAGCATGTGAAGCATACATACAAACAAAAATGTAACCTTCAGAAGCAAGGAAAATATTCGATACTAAGCTGTATTTCATTCCCTGCATTTATTGCCGAAGTTACAAATTTTGTCTTAATCATATTTTTTTTAATTTTTTAAAATGTTAACATTACTCTGATATAGAAAACCCAGTAAAGAAAGGTCCAAGGTCGTCCGGGTAGACTTTATGCATATTTAGTGAAGCTAACAATAAAGATAATAAACGTTTTTATGCCTTTAAAGCAGATGTAATTCAAAGCCGAAAGGAACTAATGTTTGAAAGTATATCCTCCTCTTCATCGATTTCTACTAAATTTGACAGACTGAACCGAAATTTATCAAATTCCATTTTATTTGAGCCGATATTGCACTTTTTAGGCAAAATAAACAAAAAATCGGATGAAGATATGTATGGTAACTACCTCCAAATCTGAATCGATCGTAAAAAGATGTAGCTGAAGTATTTCTATTTTGTATCTGATAGCTGGAACCAAATATGGTTGTTGTATGGAACATTTTACGGGTGTGAGGGATGAAAAATAGGATGAAACATACATGTGGGAACTATAGCTATATCTCAACCGAATTTCATATGATACAAACTAATGTAGGGTATACAAACAAAGTGTAGAGTACAATAATCGGGAAATGTTACCTATAAAGAAATGTATTCTTAGTAGTTAAAGTATTGGTGTTCTTAGGCGAAGGATATAAAGAAACAAAAGGTTAACCTATACAAACAATGTTTCAAAACACAGAATTTTAAACAAATCTGTTACAAAAAAATAGGGTTTAAATCGTCGAAACATCAAATTCGGCTTAAAAATGTGTCTAAAATTATAAGAACATTGAATATCTGAAGGTAACCTTATATGCGGGCTATACGAAAACGTTGTCTGCAGGCAAGTCAGGATATCTTCGAAATTGATTTGCAGACAAACGATACCTCTAAGTAAAATCGGAGCTTATTATCACATATCGTTTAGACTTTAACATGATTACAACAGATTGTCAGACAAACGCACGGACAACGGTTAGATCAACCTAGAATTTTATGATGAAGAAATAAATTCGATGTTGAGTCTACAATGAATATTTCATTTTTATACCCTACACCACACAGTGGTGCATTTGTTTGCAACATGGAGAAGGAAGCGAGATAGACCCATAGTTACTTTTAAGGATCTCCATAGAATTACATTCTGAGTCGATTTATGCATGTCCGTCCGTCCGCCTGTCCAGGTATTCTTGTGAACAAAATGCAGGTCGCATTTATTATCCGATTGAGATGAAATTTTCCAAACAATATTTGTTTGGCCCAAGGACGAACCCTATTGAAATTGATGATAATCGGATCAGATTTAGATATAGCTCTCATACATCTTTAAACGATTTCGGGTTAATTGTGCACAAAATGACCAATATAAGTCCATATGACCACATGCATTTTAGCACATCCAACCGAATTCAGTCCAGAAGCAAGAACATAAAGTGTGGTTAATATCGTTTCAGATGTAGCTATAGCTCTCATATATATGTTTCATCCGATTTGGTGTTTAAGTCCCTCAGATTCGTAATATGCATTCGACAACAATCATGTTTGGTACCAGGTATCTTATAGAGCTCGGAAACCCCTCTGCCAAATTTTATCAAGATCGGTTCAGATTTGGATATAGCTCTCATATATATCTTCAACCGATTTCGGGTTGATTGTGCACCAAATGGCCATTACCTGTCCAAAAGTTCTGATTTTTCCGAGTTCTGATGTCCGACCAAATTCAGTCTAGAAGTCAAATTTGGTGAAAATTGGTTCAGCTATAGCTATAGCTATCCAGTTTAGAGTTTAAGTTCCCCACATTCATAATATGCTTGCATTCTATAGCAATGTTATTTGGTATAAAAGACTAAAATGTCTCTAGTGAAAATCGATTAAGAATTGGATATGCCTCCCATATATTTGTTCCCCCTGACTCCAAACTATAACTGCTCTAAAGCCAAATGTTGACAGGTGTTATGATCTACTCTACTAATTATGCATAGTCGGCCCCTCCGGACTTTTGACTGTATTAGTTTTTTTTTCCAAACGGGAGAAAAACATACTTACAAATACAAATATTTTTATTGGAATTGTATATATTATACTGTTTTTCATAGTCTTAATTAATTTTAAGGGGAATAGCGAAGTTAATATACCATCTATAGGATCCAATTTCTTCAAAGGGTCTTATGTACTCTAAAGTTCAGTAAAATGAATTAACAGCGCCATAAATAAAACTGATTCTAGAGAACTTATTTGAAGATGATAACCATTACTGTTAATTTGTCAATTATGACGTCGGAAAAATTACACTGGATACAGGAAAGTATTTTCGAACTCTAGAAAATCTTTTTCCAAGTGCAGTGTGGATCCTGCATCATAACATTTGTAATCCAGTGAATATTCTGAAATATTTTATCAAGAAAAATCTGTCTCAAACTACTAAGAATATCAATTGAGTTAAATTAAAAAATGTACCTTGTTTTTTTTCAGATCTCCTCCAAATTAGACGCAGCATCTTACGGCGACTGTACCTAAACATAGAACAATTTTGTTTTTGGATATTAATAACAACCTTCAAGCAAAGTGCTTTGCATATTTTTGCATTGTGAGCTTTTAATGTTCCTATTGTCATTATTCGTTCAAGCGACAGGTGACGTGAATAAGAAGCAGGGGATGTAGTTTGTCTTTATTTGTCGACAATTTTAACAATTCAATTTTAATACATATTTACAATTCCGTTAATTTGTATGATATTACTTCAGTCGGTGTATTCCTCACAAATACCAATCCATTCGCATTTACATTTTCGATACTCTCTCTTTCAGGCCTTGTAACTCGGCTGATATTTCTGTTGGTAAGTGTGTTCCGACTTGCGTTGTAAAGTATTTTTCGATCTCTGCCACTTCCTGCAACCAAAACTCCTTTGGCAAATCGAAAAGTTTTTCCATGTCAATCTCAGATGCCATTCCTTGAATGTTGATGGAGTTACGGCTAGGTAGTAAACCTATGGGTGAATCTTGGCAGCATTCCTCCCCTTCGACACGGCGGAAAATCCAATCGAGTACTCTGGAGTTATCACCGAATCCTGGCCAGAGAAAATGACCGTCCTCACTTTTACGGAACCAATTTACATTGAAAATCTTGGGAACTTTTCCGCGTGACTCCATTGAAAGCCAGTGTTTTAAATAATCCCCAAAATTATAACCAAAGAATGGACGCATGGCGAATGGGTCGTGCATTATGACTTTAGCTTTGTGTTCGGCCGCTGCGGTTGCTTCGCTGCGCATAGAAGCTCCCAGAAATACACCATGAGACCAATTTCTTGCTTCATAGACTAACGGAACTCCGGCCGGTCTACGACCCCCGAAGAGAATTGCGCTTATTGGAACACCAGCACTATCTTCCCATGCCGGGTCAATAATAGGGCACTGCGCCGCGGGCGTACAGAAACGGGAATTGGGGTGTGCAGCAGGTTTTCCCGACTCTGGGGACCATAGTTTGCCCAACCAATCAGTCACTGTGACATCCTTAATGCTAGCTGGGTCCATACCTTCCCAGAATACTCCGCCGTCGGAAGTTGATGCCACATTGGTAAATAGAGAGTTTCTGAATATAGTTTTCATTGCAATGGGGTTTGTGGACATCGATGTCCCCGGGGCAACACCAAAGAAACCGTTCTCAGGATTAATTGCTCTCAAGACACCTTTTTTATCGAATTTCATCCAAGCTATATCATCGCCAACACACTCAACTTTGTAGCCCGGCAACGTTGGGGTCATCATAGCAAGATTTGTCTTGCCGCAAGCTGAGGGAAAGGCGGCAGCAATGTAAATTTTCTTCCCCTCAGGATTCGTTATTCCCAAAATGAGCATGTGTTCGGCCAACCAACCCTCTCGCTTTGCAATGGTACTGCCAATGCGTAGAGCAAAACACTTCTTGCCAAGTAATGAATTGCCTCCGTACCCAGAACCATATGATACTATTTCATTGTTCTCTGGTCGGTGCAAAATGATTGTTCGTTCCGGATCACAGGGCCATGAAGGCATTGCGTGTCTTCCATTTCTAGGGGTACCGACTGAGTGAAGACATTTCACAAATTCACCATTGGCTCTTTGCATCTCATCCAAAACTTTGGATCCAGCCCTGGTCATTACTTTCATGGATTCAACCACGTAAGGAGAGTCTGTGATTTCAACGCCGATTTTTGAGAGCGGCGATCCGACTGGACCCATAGAAAAGGGTATAACATACATTGTGCGACCTTTCATGCATCCAGGGAAGCGTTCAGCAATTGCTTTACGCATCTCCTCGGGAGATATCCAGTTTCCCAAAGCACCGGTTGTTGATTCCTTAGTAACAGGAATAGCTTGCTCTTTGCGATCGGTACAAATGAATGTGCGTGACTCTACTCGGGCAACATCTGCAGGGTTTGTTCTGGCCAGCCAACAGTTTTCATATTTAACTAAGGGCGTTATTGTTCTCTGCTTCACCATAAGTTGCTGCAGTATCTGACTCTCTTGAACGCTGCCATCGCAAATGTGAATGCGGTCGGGTCGACACAGATCAGCGCATTCATCGACATAGTTTTTGGCTGCTTCTGTAAAATGCGTAGGATTGCCATAAACAAAGCTGGCAAGTGATCGATAGGAGGATCTAAAATGGTACCTCTGGGTTCCCAGGGCTGAAGGGGAACTGAAACAATAAAAAGTAAAACATTATTTGCAAATCAAAGGGGATGGGTTAGGGTAAAGGAAAAAAGCCTTTAAAACGGGATTCTAAAAAAGTTCCAATCTAGAAATTCGAAACATCGAGATTAGACATATTGTTTTTGAGAATCCCATCGATAAGAGAAAAAGTAATTTCGTTTGGGTTAGCCTTGGCCGAGCCTATACTATTCACTTATTTCAAAATGGTCAGTCCAATCAAATTTGTATTTTGATTCTATTTGAAGCATCTCAAATTATTCGTCGGACTACCTCTGTTTGAGCCTAGGAGATTGGCGGTGAAAATTGTTATTCGTTATTTTGAAGTTTCATGTCAAAAATAAAAAGTGAGTAAACGTCAATTTGACCATTGCTTTGTGTTGCGATTTCCCTCGCGAAAAATTCTACATAGATGCAATATTTACTATCTCCATATAAGGGTACCTCATTATGTTTGGTATTTTATCGACATTTCCAAACGAATGAGCGGTAATTTGACAATTGAAGTTATTTGAATTTGACATTTTCTATTCATAGGTTCATTATTGGAATAGGCCCAACCTTTCGATTTGAAGTATTATATGGACTCATTTTCCGACAAATTAGTTCGTTATTCGATACTTTTTTTTTTTTTTCGATCGGTCCCAACGCCACACTCACCCGCCCCTGCCGACCGAGGGGGCCACCTCCCAATTACGTAGGGAGCGCGTACACCCCATAGTCCGAACTATGGAGGGTTAGTGCGTTAGGGAAACCAGCTACAGTTATACATCAGCCGGTTGTTTAAATTTACAAATAAAGACAACACACAGGAAATAAAACAACATATAACAGATAAGAGTAGAGAATCTGGCAACTACTTGCTTTAATACTAAAGATGTAAAATAGTGTGTTTAATGACATGCAAAGGGTCTGTCAATGATATCTCGTTATATAATTTGTTGTAGATATCACATAAAGACCTCATAGGATTATAAGATTCATAATTGGATTTAGCCAAGCAAAGTTTAAGTGGTATGTAATTTCGAGTATTACGAGCAGGAATATTAAAATTTAATTCACCGGTTAAAAACTGTGAATCGATTTCACCACGCAAAAGTTTTATAATAAATAAAGCTCTTAACATTAAACGTCTCTTTTCCAATGTCGGAAGATCAATTAGTTTTAGGCGATTCTCATATGGTGGAAGTGTATCATTTATATCCCATCCTAATCCTCTGAGAGCAAATAAAAGAAATTGGGTTTGTACTGATTCCAATTTAGCAGAATATGTTTTGTAAAAAGGACTCCACAATACGCAACCGTATTCTAAAGTGGGCCGAACCAAACTAATAAATAAACGCTTAGTCACATAAGGATCGTCAAATTCTTTTGACCATCTTTTTATAAAACCCAGCAATGACTTGGCTTTATTTACACATGAATCAATATGCAAATTAAAACGCAATTTATTGTCTAAAATTACACCAAGATCAACGAATGAGTCTACATTGTCCAATTTGTAAGAACCAATGAGGTAATCATTTTAAAAGGTTGTGTTCTAAACAAAGACAGTTTTTTACATTTCTTGAGATTTAGCGTCATACCATTAGCACTGCACCAATTAACAAGGCAGTAGATATCATGTTGCAACTTAAGGGAACTAATGTGAGAGTCCATATTACAAAAAAGTTTGACATCATCAGCAAACATTAGGATCTTAGAGTAACGTATAACCGTTGGAAGGTCATTTAGATACAATACAAAAAGTAGAGGACCTAAATGGCTACCCTGGGGGACACCAGAGTACACAGTTATCTGTTTAGAAAGAACATTATTGAAAGAAACTCTCTGTGTACGCCCTTGCAAATAAGATGATATCCATGATAACAATAATGTTGCGAAACCCATTTTGTCAAGTTTATGTAATAATAATAAGTGATCCACTTTGTCAAAAGCCTTACTGAAATCAGTATATATAATATCAGTTTGGCATTTTATTGAAAACCCTTAGAAGATATTATCCACAATTTCCTAGCGAATCATTTATAGAATGTAAAATCACCTCACAAAAATGCTAATATCGGTACGAGTTTCGTCATAAGTTTCAAATTCTAGTACTCCTAACTTGTATGTGAATTTTGATTCCCATTTTCAAGATTTCCTAGCAGAATTAATTGGTTTTATCTTCTTATAATTCTACCATACATACATCTACATTTAAAATAACTGAACGTGTCATAGAAGAATATCCTGGCCTTTTACAAAAGACAAAATTGTTTTTAATCAGAGAAAGTGTAACAACTGTCGGCCCTTTTAGGATTTTCTCATCATCAAAATTACACAGTTTCGAAGTAATTTGGAATAGGTGACATATTCAAATTTCACCGATTTTTGTAACCTCCATCATTCTATGGAGGGTATATTAACTTTGTCATTCCGTTTGTAACTCCTCGAAATATATATTCTGGATCAGCGTAAAATTCTAAGACAATCTAGCGATATCCGTCTGTCTGTCTGTTGTAAACACGCTATATTTCGAACGAATTAAGATAAAAGGCTAAAATTTTGCATACATGCATAGTTTACCAGTAGGCATGTTAAGTTCGTAAATGGGCCATGTCGGTCCAGGTTTTCGTATAGCCCCCATATAACGGTACCTCCAGATATTCGGTATTTTCATGATTTTAGCGACGTTATTTACCGGAATTATTTGAAATTTCGTATTTGTAGTTCGTAATGGGTACTACAGACTATGACTACAATTTTTATATGTAGGTTCACGTCTTCGTATAGCCCCCATACAACGTTTTTCATTTAAGGGATAGTTTCCGAACTTAGCTGCTTTTTTACTTGTTACCTCCTTTTTTAAGGGAAACAAAATGTATTTAATTTTTATTTAACACTTATGTGGCATTTTTATTTTAAATTTTAATTCATATAACATAGAAAAATTAAATAATACTGTAGTCGGCAGGTCCGCCATATCCACTTTAATAGTAGATAATCAGTCCAAAATCATTATATTTGTTAATTAATAATATTTAATTTATATATTTTACATTTTTTCAATTTTTAGTTAGTTATAACGTCAAAACTGCATGTTTTTCACATTCCGACTTTAGAAAAATCCTTATTTTTTGAAGGCGGTATCAGATATTTAACAACAATATTCTTGTCTAACGAGTTCATGTGACAGTTTTCTAATGTTTCGAAAAAGACCCTAATGAAAATTTGTTAATTTTAATATAGTTACGAGTTTTTGAAATTTGACATATCCACAATTTTTTTCTGAAGAATATGCATTCACCTATTCTAGCTGAAAGACCTTCACAAACAAATATATAAATATTAATAGAATAAGTCATATTTTCTTAGCGAAATTTAACAGAAAGACTGGGGACTTTATATTACATTAAATGCCGACTACTGGGTCATAACGAACATAGGCGCACTTATCCTACTTTCTGGTCGGCAGAAAAAGTTTGAGAATCCCACCATTTGTAAGAATATATAAATTTGCGTGCTACCTCTAAACGTTTGGATCGTCCGAGTTTCTTAAACAACAGCGTAAAATCGTATTCTCAAACTACAGACTGTACATTTTTGTGTTTTACGTGTTTACGGAGGCAAGAATTTGAAATCAAAACAAAAAAGAAAACACGTTTCTTCAGACTAATATGCTTCGGCGTCGGTCGACTATACGTGTGTTGTTACTGAATGCCGAATTTATCCGGTAGCTATCACCGAAACATACACATTTCTCTACATATATGTACCCATCTATATGCCACTAAAAATTGTTATGATATGAAAGATCTATACATATGTATTTGTACGTATGGCGTCTCAAAAAAGGTATGACAAAATCAAAGATCGCCATGGGCAAACTAATAATAGAACTAAATCAATTAGATGTTTCTAAAGGCATGAACCGGCAAGTAAATTAAATAGATTTGTCCCAAAACACAGATATTTCTACCCTTAAGAATTTTGTGAATATAATTTTTTATTCCCACTGAATTTGAAAATGTACAAAATATTCATATAAGATCCGAGAATAAGACTTATTTAGACAATAAATTGTATAGTTTTTAGAATCTCAAAAAAGGAATTTGGAAAAAATACCTACAAACATCCACCATGATTGTAAAGGAAGAATCATGTTGTATGAGAAGGTTACGCAATAACCCGCCAATTTTGGAGAACAGCCCAGAACGAGCAAGGCAAAATATTTTATTCGCTGCGGGAACAGATTTTGACTCCAACATTAGGTGGTCTGTTTAAAGATGCTCTGCACACCTCAGAAAAAATGCTCATCATCTTTATTGGGCTACCAAGAAGAGGAGCTGCTTATTTGGGAACTCACTGGTATCCAAGGATGAACTGCTTGCGTATTTCGAGTGGCATGTCCTTCTTAAAATAATTCACAAATAATCGGATTTGTAATGAATGTTTTGTTGAGAAGTGATATTAAAATGTTATAACCCTATTGTATATGCTCCACCAGGAAGTACAATTCGACATGAACCATTTAGTTACGCGAATGATGTGCTTTAATTGATAGCAATTGAAATTGCATTCATTTTTTTATGGTATCGCGTTCTGTTCCAAAATAGATATCTAAAGAATTTATTAGAATTTTTAAAAATCTACTATAAGATCTGGTGAGAAATATCGAAAAATTAAAAGGAAAACACAAACCATCAAATCGATGCAATCCTTTGACAAGAATTACAAACGTTTAGACTGTGATCACGATTTATCTTTAAAATGCCGCATGAAAAGTAAAATCAAATTCAATCATTGTTTACACAAAAACAAATTCACTTTCCGAAAGGCCAAGCCCACCAAAAACTCTGAAAATTGGCTCTGTTTCAAAAGACACAGGTGTCTATCAGATGGTTCGTGAATATACCTACACAGATACGTGCATGGTATCTGCATGCCTTTGAAATGTTTTGTGTGTTCTACTCTCGCAAATGTCTGATGCAATGTTTCATCATCGTT